CTGCCTGGCCCGGCCAGGGAGAAGTTTAAAAAGTGTGAAGGAAATTGCTCTGCGTCCTCCCGGCGGTGCCTTTGCCTTGTGGTCGCAAGGGGTATTGGGGAAAGCGGTGGTACCAGGGAGCGTTCTGTTTCTTTCTTCTTTTATTTCTTTTCCCCTCTAAATCCAGATAGCTCAAGCTAGCAGTCTGTCCCTTCTGGCTGGCCGCTAGGGAAGCAGTTTGATATCCTTTTCTCGGTGGTTTTACACATTGCTGTTTTAACAGCTTTAATAAGAGAGAACACTCTTGACGTGTCAGAGAAAATCCTGTTTAAAAGCCAAAGCTCAGGCTTCCGTAACAATTCTCCTTTTGGACAAATGCATGTACTCTCTCAGTTCATATTTATTTTTTGGGGAAAATGTCCCTCCAAATGATGTGTACATCTTGTGTGCTATGAATCCAAGAGGTTCCTATGTTTGAACATAAAATTGGTGAGGAGCTTCTTTATAAGAACAGTTGTGAGCATGAGTGGGGAAAGCCCTTATCTCTAGCAGGTAATGCTTCATAAAATTATTTTAATTAAGAAATTTTAATCAAAACAATTAAATCATTGACCATATCTTTAAGGCTGAACTTCAGTCACAGTCAACAGAGTCTGAGGGAAGAAATTTTAGCTTTTTACAAAGAAAAAGAGATGAACGATGCAGTTTTTATTTATTTGGGAAGATGTGTTTTACTTAGACTCCTCCCTTTATAAGACTACACACACAGGGGTGCTGGCTGCTGTGAGTTACTGTGTCTTCAATGAGACCAAAAAGTAATGCTGGTTTACACCTGCTGAGGGTCTGGCCCATGTATTCCATCACAAAACCCACCTGCCCCTGGTCTCTGCCTTTGCAAGAAAATAACTTCACAGTGTTAAAAACATTGCAATATCTTTTAGGTCACTTGTGTCTGTATAGTAAAGGGTCCTGAAAGTAGCTTAGTCAGAAAATAGGCTTTTTAAAGTATTTTCTTAACTAGGGGCTAGTTCCCCAACTGCCCAGCTCTTTTGGCTTCAAGGCAACTTTTTCTGGGCCTTATCTTCACACTAAATTTGGAAATCTGGCTCGGATGCCCATATGTTACTTTTGCTCTAGCTCCAGTGTGCTACAGCGTTGGATCCTACACCCTTTGAAATCAGAGACAGTGATGCCAGACTTGTCTGAATTATTCCTGATGTTTTCATTTCTTTGATGCTTGCTTTTCTTTATTTAGATAAGTTCTGGTAAAATGATTCACCTGTGTGTAGAAGTATGAATGGCAGATTGAGTGCTTGGAAAGCTTGACTTTCAGAGCATTTTAAGGAGTTGATTGACTTCTATAATATGGTAGCTGGTAAAAGATTATACCTTTCAGAGCTGTGTTACCTGAACTTGATCAACATTGCACGATGGTTTAAATATTATGAAGTGCATCTCCAGCAGACAGGGTCTGCATTGGTCTGAGGCAAAATGCTTTCAGCGCTCTAGCAGAATGTAAATATGAGGAGTGGAATTGTTTGGCTTTCTTTGTCTCTGAGAACTGCTGCTGAGTAACAGGAAAGGAGAAAACCAGAATGTAGTCAGATATTTCTATGTTTGAGGTTGTGTCAATTGAAATTAAGTGTAACATCCAGAATAATTCACTGTAGTGATGAAAAGTGCATTAAATCTCAGTGTGCATCCCACCAAAACCTCTGCGATGAGGAGAATAACAGTACAAACAGAAATTATTACAGTGGGCTAGAAACAGCCCATCGTGAGCAGTATCCCACACCCAGGGAAGATTAAGCAAGACTTCCCTGCACTTCACCGTAAGCAAGATCATGCTTTAAATTTCATTTCATTGTAAATGGTTGGTTAAAAATACTGTGTGTAGAAGTTATTTCTCTGCTAAGTTCTCATCCAGCATTTACAGAAAATCCTTATTAACTCAGTTAGAAAGAACATTTTGATGGAGACAGGGCTCATTTTATGTCTTTTGATAGAAAGGAGGGTTTACAAATTCACAGGAGAGCTGTCACTCTTACGTGAAATGAAAGGCTGTCTGTGCACTGAGATATGCATGTGCATTTCAGAAGTGAAAATTCGGTCTTGTTTTCAGGCACTACCACACACCTTTAAAGCAGAGGCACTGCTGTGATTCTGGGCTGAGCAGTGCCAGTAACTGATACTTAAGTTCATTTCCAAGAGCAGTAAGTGGAAGTGCTTTGAAAAACAGGAGCTAAAATATTCATATTTTACAGAAACACTTGTAATGCTTTATACTTAGCTGATTTTTTAATGATTATAAGATGTTTCAGCCTGACCATATATGACTACCTCTTGTCTGGATCTTGCTTTGAAGTTACACAGCCAGAACTAATGCATGCTGGGCTCCAGATAGAAACTGGGGCTGATTTCTGAGAGCTATACCCAGCAACATTTTGCCTGCTATTGCTCTCTGACTGCATTTGTGAGGATGGTTTGTTTTCATCAGTTTGTCAGGGTTTTTTTGCTCAAGCATTTCTTAAGTGGGCAGAGTACTCGCCTTACTTTCAGTATTAGAATGAGTTAGGGAATCTTTCACAGTGAACAAGGAGTATCAGCTGTTTGTTTTCAAAGCTGGGTATGTTTTTCTGTAGCAAGGAGGGGTGACCCAGAATATTCTTCTCCTGTGGCCATGACCCTAAATCCTCACGCTACAGTACATAAATAATTCACTGCTAGTAGTATCGCTCTGCGACCTCTGTTTAGCCCTCAGCAACAGTAACCGTCACACTCTTTGCTGAGCTAGGAATGCACAAATTGGAAACGGTTTATAATTTGCATCTAGGGTTTGAAATGTTACCAATTGCTTGCCGCATGGGCAGCCAAAGTCCTCACTTGCAAGCCAGAGGGAGACAGTGGCAGTGATGGCCCTGGGGCAGTGGTGGAAGCCCAGCTGTTCTCGTGTAGCTGCTGACAAACAGCGCTGGGATTTTTCCCGGCAAACTAGCCCTGCATCCTGCTAAAAGACCATCTTCTGTATCTGTCCTTGCATGGAGTGTGTCCGATGAGTGTTTTGGCTTTGAAAGGGAGAAGGGAAACAAGCACCTTCTGCTCAGAGTGCTTCATGTTACCCTACTCCTAGGGCATCTTTGTTGCTACAAAGAGGAAAGATATTTGTGCTACTCTTTTCTTTTGTCTCTGCCTTTGCATCCTCTGCTCTGTGAATAATAACGGTGACTGTTTTTATAAATGAACATCCTTTTCCCGTGTGGAGGCCACAGTTAAATTGATCAATTTCTTGCCATTTTTACTCTACGGCTCTGAATTTCAACGGGAATCAGAGGCAACGGATCTGTTTGTCCACAGATCCGGGAAGGCTGCATGCACCGTTTTGCATGATGCTAACTTAAAATACAGGAGGTTTTCTCTTCCTGCAGGCTGCATCTCACCACAGCTCTTGGGTCCTGTGGGTGCTAGGGAGGTTGCGGGAGGGTAGCTAGTTTCAGCCCTCTGTGCTAACAGTGGAGCTTGTGAAACCTACCTATCGTTAGACTTAGTTTTTCAAATTGTGATCACAGCTGGCTCATTCAGTTCTGCTCTCTGCCAGTGTGTGTTGCTTGAGCCAAACAATCAAACTTCATACCTCCCCAGGGCAGGGAGAGAGTGCTATGAACACACACCTGGCCATAGGGACTATACAGAAGATTTTCTTTTTTGGATGCTGTCACTGCTTTCTTTCTTTTTCCACTGATTTGTTTTTATGCTCTGCTTTTTTTTACTCCACTCTCTCTCATTCATCTGACTCACTCATGTGCCTTTCATCTGCTCTTTGCCCTGCTTTGTA